ATTTTAGAAAGAAAGGAGATGGTCTTGTAACAAGCGGGCCGGCTAATGAACGCATGGCTATATTGGTGGAAAGACAGCTTGCTCATAAAGCACCATTATCTCCCGAATGCATGGCGTTGATGTCTGCTGATGGGGTAAGCAAAAATATGATCGTTCAGCTCTGCCCGTTGATCGATGATGATGACAAAATCATAGGCGCCATGTGTATGTTGATCAATGGGGTGCCCGGCCAGTCGGGTCGTCATCCGGAAGAAACGGCCGGACATCCTACTTCCGTTTTTCAGGAAGATCCAGGCTATAAAAGCAATGGTGATCTGTATTGGAAGATGATTGAAGAAATTGAAGACTATGCGATCCTGTTATTGGATACGCAGGGATATATTCAGAACTGGAACAAGGGCGCTGAAAAAATAAAAGGGTATACCTCCGCGGAAATAGTCGGGCAGAACTTTCGGATTTTCTATTTGCCGGATGATCAGCAAAGTAATTTGCCTGAGCAGTTGATTCAAGAGGCAAGGGTTCGCGGTAAAGCCATACATGAAGGGTGGCGTGTACGCAAAGACAGAACGGTTTTCTGGGGTAGTATTGTGCTGACTGCCCTGCATGATACCGATAACAAAGTCATAGGGTTTACCAAAGTAACCCGTGACCTTACGGAACGTAAAAATGCAGAGAACAAAATCCGTGACTACAATGCTGAGCTGGAGGCGCAGAATAATGAGCTGAAACAGTTTAACTATGTAGCCAGCCATGATCTGCAGGAGCCATTGCGGAAAATAAGAACATTTGGAGGTATTCTTGCCAGTAAATTCCAGGACGCGCTGGATGTTGAAGGAAGAGACCTGATCTCCCGGATGCAGTCGGCCACCGACCGGATGACAAAGCTGATCGATGATCTGCTGAACTTTTCTAAAGTTTCTAAAAAGGAAGGAGGGCCTGATTTTTCCCTGATCAACACTGCCGTTTTACTGGAGGATCTGATTGCAGAATATGACGGTACGTTGGTTGAAGTCGCCGGTAAAATAGAAGTTGGCAGGTTATACCCGGTATGGGGGGTAGAGTGGCAGGTAAGGCAGGTTTTTCAGAACCTCATAGGTAATTCCATTAAGTATGCAAGAGCTGGTGTGCCGCTTTCCATACAGATATCATCCCGGCTGATCGATACGTCCAAAGAACTTTTGCCTTTTACGGAGATGGGGAATAAAGGAAAGTTCCAGATGGTAGAATTCAGAGATAACGGCATCGGTTTTGAACAGCAATATGCAGATCGGATTTTTCAGGTCTTTCAACGTCTTCATGGGAAAAAAGAATATGAAGGAACAGGCATCGGCCTGTCTATTGTTCATAAAGTGGTGGAAAATCATCGGGGATATATTAAGGCAAACGGCGAACCCGGCAAAGGTGCTTTGTTTACCCTGTTTCTTCCTTTTGGAGAAGCACATTATAGCTGAAAATGATCTGGCCTGAAATTTTAAAAATCCATTTTTTTGCAGGACAATCAGCCTCAATTATGGTTATGCTTTGTTATGGTAATAAAACCTTGTTGCTGTAAGATGGGCAGCCAGATATACAAGTCTGCAAGCAGCACATCGGATGCAATGCCGCAGCTGTAGGCGGTGAGTTTCACCGCGGCCGAGAGGTCGATACTGGTATGGCAATGGCTGAGAAATATAAATTGCCAGGCTGTCAGTTCTTCCATCACCAATCCATAGTTTTTACGGCTGACGGCCATATACGTTGTCTGGCTAATTGGCAAAACATAGTCTAACGCTGCCTGTAACGCTTTGTACAAGGGCAATACAGAGAATGGTAATGTCAGCAATC